CTAAGAGCAATAATGGTATCCTCTCATTCAGCATATTCGAGAGACATTGTGATTAAGACTGTGGAAGATAGGACTGCAGAGATGGCTCAGCGGTTAAGAGAGCTTGAGAGGGTTTTTTTTTTTTTGTCTATTTGAGACAGGGTCTCCCTGTAGCCCCAGCTGACCTGCAACTTGCTATGTAGACCTGGCTGGTCTCGAACTCAAAGATATCTGCCTGCCCCTGCCTTCTGAGTACTAGGATTAAAGGCATGTGCCACCACACCTAGCAGGAGTCGGGTTTGATTCCCAGCCCCCACATGGTGACTAACAACTGTCCATAACTCCAGTTCCAGTGGTTCTCTTCTGACTTCCGCAGGCATTATTACAGGACACAGGTACATTTACATCATGCAGGCAATACACTTATACATGTAAAATAAAATTAAAATGATGAATAAAATATTTTTTTAAAAGGCTATGGAAGATGGTGTGCTCTCTCTTCCAATGTGAAGATCAGTTATACGCTTCTCCTTATTTTGGTACTATGGTACAGTATATTTGTTGAGTTTCTAATGAGTCAACTGTAAACTCTTGGAGTAAGCCCCAGCTGGTCATGTTGTATAGTTCACATCCTACTTACATATTGTTGGACTTTGTTTGTTGGTATATAGCTCACGCTAGCCTCGCACTCACTATATATCCAAAGCTGGCCTTGAACCTACTTTCACTTCTTGTATACTAGGATTGAAGACATGCACTGACATGCTTGGCTAGCATTTTTGTCTTTACATTATTCAGCAAAAATTATTGGATGCCTACTATATGAAGACTGTATGGGGCTGGACAGATGGCTCAGCAGTTAAGAGCACTGGCTACTCTTGCAGAGGACCTGGGTTCAGTTCCCAGCACCTATATGGTATGGTGACTAACAAGTGTCTGTAACTCCAGTTCCAGGGAATCCAACACCCTCTTCTGGCCTCTGCAGACATTGCACAACACAGATACACTTACACACATGCAGGCAATACATGCCTTTAATCCCAGCACTCGGGAGGCAGAGGCAAGTGGATCTTTGTGAGTTCAAGGCCATCCTGGTCTACATAGTGAGTTCCAGGACATCTGGGGCTACAGGGAGACCTTGTCTCAAAAAGACCAAAAAGAAAAAAAAGAGTGTGTGCTGTGTGTTGGGAAAGAAATACTGACAAAGTAGGTTTCCTGTCCCCATGGACTTAGTGCTTTAGCAAGAGCTATTTGAAGCATAGTTAACACATAAAATAGTGGCATTTTATCTTATTGGTACTGGAAAATGATTGAAGAATTTTGAGTAGAGAAGTGATTGGATGTAGATGCTGGTATATGATACATTGGAAGAAAATGAGACTAGGTCCCAGAGAGAGAGAGGGAGAGAGGGAGAGAGGGAGGGAGGGAGGGGGAGAGGGAGAGGGAGAGAGAGAGAGAGAGAGAATAAAGGCCTGAATAAGGGTAGTGAAAATAGAAAGTAGTGAAGAAAAATGATATAATTTATAGTTTGATAAATGAATAAAATGGTCCCTACTAGATTTGTTAACTTGAGGATTACTGATGACCTTAGTGACAATAGTCATCATTATTATGGCGTGGTGGAAGCAGAGGGTAGGAGAGTAGTGAAATAAGAATTTCAAGAGGGGCTGAGGAGGTGGCTGAATGAGTAAGAGTGCTTGTTGAGCAAGCTTGAGGATCTGAGTTCAAATTCCTCACACACCACATAAAAAGCTGGGCATGGCCACCACACACCTGTAACTACACTGGTTGTGTGTGTGTGTGTGTGTGTGTGTGTGTGTGTGTGTGTATGGTGGGGGAGAGAGAGAGACAGAAACATCACTGGGGCTTGCTGGCTGCCAGCCTGGCTCCAGGTCCAGTGAGAGACCCTGTCTCAAGGGAATAGGGCCAAGAGTGACAGCAGGACACTTGATGTACTCCTCTGGCCTGTGTGCACAGGACTTTGCACCTGTACACGTGTGCTATACTACACACATATCAGACAGAGAAAGAGAGAGAGAGAGAGAATTGAAAAGATGCTCTCTAAATAAAGTCAGTATCAAAAAATAAAGTCCAGCTAAGGCTTAGCTGTTAAAAGCACTGACTTCTCTTGCAGAGGACCTGGGTTCGAGTCCCATCAACCACATGGCAGCTAACATCCATCCCAAATTCCGGTTCCAGGGAATCTGACTCCCTCTTCTGGCTTCAGTGGGCACTAATATACATGCAGGCAAAACATACATATACATAAAATTGAAACAAATAAAGTCTGTACCAAAATGAAGTCAGATCAGAATGGAAAAGATTAGCATATTGAAACAGTTGCCAACTCTGAGTAGGCAAATGACAAAAAGATAGAGAACTTTAAATTTGTATTGAGATACCGAAACAAAGGAAATTAAATTACTATGTAGGAAAGCGATGAATAATTATTCTTTAAGATATAAAGAACTTGAATATGCTTGTATACTGAGGGAAAAGGGTGAATGGAAAATGAGAAGTTTAAGATATAAAAAGGAGAGGAAATAACTGATGAAGCCAGGTCCTGAGGAGGTTGGGGAGTGCAGAATTCTATCTATAAGTGCATGGTGGGGGCCCGGGGGTGGGGGGGGATACAGGTGAAGATGGAAACAGGTCTATGAATAGGGTGACACAGAGAGTGCACACAAGCTTTATTTCCTTAGGTAAGTAGTGAGATGATTAGTCTGTCAAGAAAGAAGAGAAAACTACATCAAAGCTTGACAGGAGTAGTGATATTTGGAAAGACAATTGAAGGAAATGAAAGCAGCAATTGGCAAATCTGGGTTTTTAAGGCAAAGTTGAGACTCAAAAAAAATGTTTTGTGGACATTGATCTCTAAAATTATGTAATTTCCTTTTGGGGACATAATGGAAATTGACAGATAATATGTGCCTGCAATCCTTGGTTATGAGGGAAGAGAGTGGGAGTTAAGGATGCTGCCAAGAGATCAGTTGAAATAAAGAAGAATGAAGAGAAGACTGTAGAGCATGATGCATAACAGAGTGTGATGGGACTTTCAGGGTGAAGGAGATTAGGGTAAGATAAGAACTTGTGATAATCTAGATATCAAGTCTAAGATTTAAGAAACAGAGCTGTCTGGGGTGAATGAAACGTCCTGTGAGGACCATGGATGAGAGATAGAATACATGGAAAGAGAGTTTAGTGGCCAGGGGAACGCAAGGCTAGGCAGAAGTAGCTATGTGAAACTGAAGTCTCAAGGATGCCAAGATTTGGAGAGGAAGATGGAAAAATGCTTCAAAGGTGAAGCAGCGATTAGAGCCCTCAGTAAGTGATTGTCAGCAATGTCTATGCAGAAAAGGAGAAATTAAAGGACACATGATCTAGCCTTCGGATGAGATCATAGGTTTAGAAATAGGAAAAAAATAGGCATTTTCCCGTCATTTCTCTTTTTTATATGGCTTCATAGAGGGTATCAGCTACATGTAATCTCTCTACAAAATCTTAAAAAAGTGGAGAAATATATGGGGTAGAAAATAATAGTTTGGGGTTGAGGATGTAGTTAGGTTCATAGAGTGCTTGTGTAATATTCATTAAACCCTGGGTTTGATCCTGAACACTGAATACATTGGGTGTGGTGGCACATGCTTGTAACCCCAGACACTTGATCAGAAGTTCAAGATCATCCTCCACTATACAGTGAATTTGAGGCCAGCCTAGACTATATACAGTGAGATCCTGTCTTCAAACAAACAAAATAAACACCAACAAACAAAAATAAACTACTTATTAGTGAAATTGCTAAATTGAAGGTTACATATACTTAATATTTGGAACAGTTCTGCTAAATGCCCCTTCGAAGTAGCATTGGACCAATGTATATTCCTGGTAACAGTATTGGAAAGTAGCCAAATCTCCTTTTTCCTCCCTTTTTATAGACAGTGTCTCCCTGTAGCCCCAGTTGTCCTGGAACGCACTAGGTAGACCAGGCTGGCCTAGAACTCACCGAGATCCACCTGCCTCTGCCTCCCAAGTGCTGAAATAGTAGGCATGCGCCACCACGGCATCCCAAACCTCCATTCTTAACAGCAATAAGTATAATTCTTTTTTATTTTTAAGGTATCTTTCCTAGGGAGAGTAGATAGATCGGAGGTTTGTCAACTAGTCCATATAATGAAGAGATAAAGACTGCTCTGGTGGTAGACCGAATGAAACCAGATTTGGTTTTGTCGCTTCCTGTCTGTGCTAACTAAATCCTTTCTAAGTTATAAAGTTGATGTGCGTTTACACTTGGAGCACAGAGAGAACATCTTTATGGACAGAATTGCTTAGTATTTATCATTCTTACAGAATTTGGAGCAAATTATGTGTCCTGAAGTCAGAAATTTAGTTGATCCTATTTAGAGTTTTAAAAACATCAAAATTTCCATAAAGATAATCGGAACACAAGCTGAGCCTATGGAAAAATATTTCAACAGGTGCCAGTTTGGGCAGCGCGGGGCAAGGAGGTGGACAATAAATCAGGTTGTGCGTTTTGAACGTTTCCATTCTGAAGGTAAGGATGCCCGGTATTCAGGAGTGGAGCACACATTTTACGTAGGTTCCCAGCCTAGGGTCACCGACAGGCAGATAGTCCTTTTCTGCCCAGAAAACTGCGGTGTCAAAGTGACGTCTGGGTAGGGTTGACCCGCAAACCCAACAGCAGGAAGGCGGAGGCAGGAAGATGACAAGTTCGAAGCCAGCCTGGCTTACACACCGAGACCTTGTTTCTTCTCTCCGCCCTCCAAAAAAAGTGTCTCTTGGAAGAAACTCCACCAGATTTCAAGATGGTTTCCGTCCTCCGACAGCACCCAAGGCACCTAGGGCAGAATCAAGACCAGGATTGAGATTTCCATCGCGTGATCCGCGCCTGGGCGCGCCTTTGCCATTACTCAAAATGGCGAGCAGCACTTCAAGGTTTCCAGGTTTTGACAGTCCTTGGCTAACCAGCGCCTTCTAGAGGCTAATCCCAGGACCGTAGCCTAACTCTAGCGGAAGTGACGCACAGGAAACTGTCAGGCATCGCAATCCCACCCCGCCCCCGCTCGTGCCCCGCCTCCGCGGCGCGAGAGCCGAGCCAAGATGGCGACCGAACTGGAGTACGAGTCGGTGCTGTGTGTGAAACCCGACGTCAGCGTCTACCGGATCCCACCGCGGGCCTCCAACCGCGGCTACAGGTACCGAGCGCGGGCCGGGAGGACGCTGCTGGCCGGGAGGACGCTGTCCGCCGCCCCGTTTCCGCCCAGCTGCTCGGCTTGCTAGCAGACCACCCTGGTTTGCCCGCCTCTCCCTCCGCTTTCCTTTTGCACCGCTGGAACTCCTGCGTTGTCTTATTTTTCTGCCTCCACGCAGCATTCCGCCTCTCTCCCCACCCCCTTGGGCATCATCCGCGCCCAGTCATCCACATCCATTCATGCCTGCTCCATCTGTCAGTCTAACGCTGCTGACCTTCGGCAAAAAATGCCTGTCGCGCACGCACACGCACACACAGCACACCTATTTCTCCGTGCACACTTGGCAGTCGTTGTGTAGCTGGCGCTGTTTGCATGATCTCATATTGCTATCAGTCTCACCAAGTTTCATCATTCACCGTTCGGTTTTTCTTTTTTCTTTTTTGGCCAGTGGGCAAAGGTTGTAACCCTGTTTTCCAGTGATTATCGTGTTTCTTTCCATACGTGCATATACATATTTTTTTCCATTATACTTTTTTGATTATGTACGTAGCAATTTTTGTCTTCCTACCTTCCTTTTCCTGTTCACCTCACCTATAGCCTTTCCAGAGTTAACGCAGCATTTTCGCTCTGTAAGCCCTGATTGACAACCTTGTAAGACAATGCCAGTGAGAGTCAGAGGGTGTTGTAGGATGTTACGGAATTGAAAGAGAATTCGCTGGGTTTCATGTTGAAAACTGAGCATGCTTAATAGCTGTTTAATTTGGGAGTGTATCTCTTAACCTCTCTAGGCTTTAGTTTTCTCATCTGTAAAATGGGAAGCAAGTAATGTTTTTATACCCCGCATTTCTTATATACCTCGCAGTTTTTTTTTTCCAGAAAGTAAAATGAAATAATATAATGGATGTGAAGAAATGCAGAATAGATAGAGCATGATAAAAATAAAATCCTAGTCTTACCCCTTTCTGAGTCAGACATAATGATTTTTCTTTTAGCATCATTATTACCTTTTTTGGGAAGTTACAGTCTCCATAGGTCCTTTTTGCCTCTTTTCCAGAGATTAATTCATTATTAATCGTTTTCTGTTTGCAGACATGTACAGTGTGGTCCCTATGAGTTGTATCTTTTGGCAAAAAGTAGTTCTACCTTCAAGAAGCAATCTGTCAGACCTGAAATTGACCATGAATGAGACTCAGTATGTTCTTTGTTGGTGGTCAGAGGTACTATTTTAATGTGACTCCCTTTGGCCATCACCTCCTTTGAGAAGCTCTGTCTGATGCATTCTGGTTTAGGTCTGCTGTGTGGGCTCCCACTGCATCGTGTGCTTAGCTCCATCATAGTACCCTTCATTCTCTGATGGATTGCTTATTCTCCTATGCTCCAGGGCAGAATGAATAGCCTGAAATCTAGAACTTTGTAGGGAAAAGCAGGACCAGTATTGTGCCTGGCACGTAGTGGGCATTCAGGGAAATGTTTACTGAACTAAGAAATAGGGGGCTAGCAAGATGGCTCCATGGGTAAATGCTTACTGCACGAGGCCGATGACCTGAGTTTGATTCCCAGGATCCATGTAAGGGTGGAAGGAGAGAACGCACTCCACAAAGTTGTCCTCTGAACTTCACACATATGCTGTGGCATGTGTGTCCCCCCATTACACAATAATAGTAAAAAGAGAAGAAATTACACAATCAACCCAGTCACAGGAGTTAATGGCTGAAACTGCTAAGTAAGGTGAAATATTAGGAGTCGAGACTTCCAAAAGGGTATGATACACATTGAAGTGTTCTGTTGTTTTTATTTCAACCTTAGTTCCACTGCCTCATCTGCTCTTCCTTTTGCTTCCTAAGTTACCCACAGCCTTTATTCCTTTGTCAGGAATAAAGAATAATGATTGTCATTGAGTCATCAAAGCAATTTCTTAATTTTTCTTGTTTACTTTTTCCCCTTTCTGTTTTCCATTCTTATTTAGGTATTTCTTATCCTCCAAAGGCATTTTATCATTATTCACTCTTTTTGTATAGTGATTGAAAAAAAAGAAAAACTAAATTTGAAGTTTGGCATGGTGGCACACACCTGTAATCCCAGCACTTGGGAGTTGGAGGCAGGTAGATCAGGAGTTTAAGGTCAGCCGCAGCTAACGGACACTCTGCCTTAAAATCCAAAAACTCAGGGCTGGAGAGATGGCTCAAAGGTTAAGAGCACTTGCTATTCTTTGCCGAGGATGTGAGTTAGGTTTCCAGAGCTCTCAACCATGTGTAACTTCAGTTCTAGGGGATCTGACATCCTCTTCTGGCCTCCACACACACGAGGTACACATACAGGCAAGCAGGCACACATACGTACATATACATTAAAACAAATTTGAAAAGCTATAACTCCTCCCATCCCCCAATAAAAACAAATTAAGTTTGACCTTCTGTTTTTCAGGCCAGTCATTTAATTGTTTTGAACTTTAGTTTTCTTATCTTTAAAAATGGACCTAATAATACTTACCATGCAAGACACTCACTTGATTGTCATAAGAACAGACATGATGCCTGGCACATAATAGATACTTGATGAATGCTTCTTCTCTTCTTCACCCTTTGTAAGTAAAGTTTATATATAAACCTAAGGTAAATGAAGATGTGTGAGATTAGTTTATAGTATGATCAGAAGACCAGCAAAACCAGCAGTTCCTGAGGTTAGGCTTTGGATGGGAGAGGAATCAAGGTTCCCAGTTGAAGAGAAATGGCTGGCATGACTGTCCATACTCTTACTGAGAAATATTTTAAGTCATTAGATACACAGGGTAGAAACGACAAGGCTCCTGTCCAGTAGGCTTGTTGCTGGTATTTCCTACTCACACTTAAGTCCAACTCTATCTATGGTGTGCTTAGAATAAGTAATGATTCATTGAAAAGAATCGGGGCTGGAGAGATGACTCCGTAGCTAAGAGCCCTGGATGCTCTTGTGGAGGACCCAAGTTTGGTTCCTAGTATCCACATGGTGGCTAACAACTGCCTGTAACTCCATTTCCAGAGGATCCAGTGCCCTCTTCTGGCCTCTGTGAGCATTGCATGACATGGTTGTACTTACATATGTGCAGGCAAAATACCAATACACATTAAAAAAAGACTTTTTAAAAAGAAAAGGAAAGCCCACCTGCTCTTGTGGAGGACCCAAGTTTGGTTCCTAGTACCCACATGGTGGCTAACAACTGCCTGTAACTCCATTTCCAGGGGATCCAGTGCCCTCTTCTGGCCTCTGTGAGCATTGCATGACATGGTTGTACTTACATATGTGCAGGCAAAATACCAATACACATTAAAAAAAGACTTTTTAAAAAGAAAAGGAAAGCCCACTTCTTTAATCCCAGCTCTTGAGAGGCAGAGGCAGGCAGGTATCTGTGAGATTGAGGCTAGCCTGCTCTACATGGTAAGTTCTGGGCCTGCTGGGGCAACAGGGAGACCCTGTCTCAAAAAATAACGGAAAAAAGGGAAAGATTAATAGGGGAAATTGTGGTTGTTCAGTGGGTAAAGGTGACCTGTGTTCAATCTCTGGGACCCATATGGTGGAAGGAAAGAACTCCAGAAAGTTGTCCTCCAACTTCCATATACACATCATAGCATGCATGTGCTCCTCCCCCACAGATAAATAAATGTAATTTAAATAAAGGATGCAAATTAATAGATGGGACTTGTAGAATTAATCTGGATCAGATACAGATATTAAAGGGTTTTTGAAGGTAGAATATCAAGAGGGAAAGGAATAGTAAAGATTTATCTTACAATCCTCTTCCAAAGCTCAGCTGCTCAAGGCCTCGAGTTTGACTCCTGACACTGCAAAAACAAAAATCCATTAATTTTATTATTATTATTTATTTTTTATTTTATGTATATGAGTGTATTGCCTGCACATGTATAAGTGCAATGCCTGTGGAGGTCAGAATGCCTGTGTCGGATCCCCTGGAACTGGACTTACAGGTAGTCGTTAGCTGCCCTGTAGGTGCTGGGAATTGAACCTGGGTCCTCTGCAAGAGCAGTCAGTGCTCTTAACCACTGAGCCATCTCTCTAGTCCCCCAAATCTGTTAATTTTAATGTTTACTTTTCTTGCCTATTGCTTACTATCTTGCTAAACTTTTTCTTGTTTAGGTATATCTTGTTACTTTCTAACCTGTAAGTACTTGTCTTAATTTTTTGTTGTTGTTGCTTGTTTTTCTTTCTTTGAAATAGGGCCTTAGCTTTGGAGGGCAGGCAGGCCTCAAGCTCACTATATTGCCAAGGTTGGCCTTGAAGTCACAATCTTCCCGCTTTTTATTCCTAGGGGCTGGGATCTTAGGTGCACTCCAGTTTTCTTAGGAGGTCCATTAGTAACATACTTTCCCCTCTCCTACACTCTCAGCAAAACATCGCAATGCAGCATTTTGTAAAATCAGTCATAAATTATATCTTAGATTTTACTCAATGTCATATAAACAGTATTCAGGGTTTTCTGATGTAAATGTTTGTATCTTCAGTTGAGGTGTCTTTCCTGTATCTTTACTGAGTTCTCTTCTTGAACCCAGGTGCCCACCCCTTACTTTCTCTTGATCATCTATTAGGTATATTCAGAACTGGATCTCTGTCTTCCTAGATCTGCTCTATAAATAGCCTTCCTTTTTCCAGTTTCTGGCAGTTTGCTCAGAACAAAAACTTGGGAGTTGCCCTTGACTTTTCTTCTTTTCTGACCCACACCCAGTACATTAGAAAATCTTGCTGCCTTTGCTTTGAATCTGTCTAGAATCTGGCTAGCCACATCTCCTGTCTCCTCCAAACCCTTGTCATCACTCACTTAGATTACTGCAGTGTTTCTTAGCTAATCTCCCTGCTTTAACCGCCATGTCCCTACATCTCTTTTCCCCAGCAGATGAAGTAATCCTTTTGAAATACAAGGAAGATTGGGTTGCCCTGTTTGAAGCCTGTAATGGCTCCTTTTTTCACTTGGCATGAAAGCCGAAGTCCTTTGATGACCTGTAAGGCTCTGCATGATCTGACTGTCTTTTCCTCTCCCAGATGGCCTCTCACTCTAAGAACAATGGCTTCCTAGCTGTCCTCACGTGTGCCAAGTGTGCTTCTACCTCACGCCTGTGTACTCGCCATCCCCTCTGCTCAGTGTCTTCCCTCAGGTGCCTGCCTGGAAGCCTCCTTCATTTGCTCTACTTCTTTTTTTTTTTTGGTCTTTTTGAGACAGGGTCTCCCTGTAGCCCCAGCTGACCTGGAACTCACTACCTTGAACTTACAGAGATCCGCCTGCCTCAGCCTCCTGAGTCCTGGGATTAAATATATGTGCCATCACTTGATCTATTTTTTGTCTTTTTTTTTTTTGGAGATGAGGACCAAACCGAGGGCCTCAAGTGCTCTACCACTGAGCTAAATCCCCAACCCCTTGAGCTATTTTTTTTAAAAATTAAAAAAATATTTTATTGTGGAGTGGGCCTGGTATGGCGATGCAGGCCTTTAATCCCTGTCTCAAAAAGACCAAAAAAATTATTGTGTATGAATGTTTTACCTGCATGTATGTAAGTGTGGTGCCATGTGTGTGCCTAGTACCTGAAGAGGCCAGAAGAGGGCATCAGATCCCCTGGAACTGGACTTATGGACGGTTGTGGGTGCTGGGAACCAAACCTGGGTCCTCTGCAAGAGCAGCCAGTGATCTTTATGGCTGAGCCATCTCTCCAGCCCCCCTCTATCATTATTATTTTAAATATTTTATTTATGTTTTCACAACAGTAAGTTCTTTCCTCTCCAGCCGTGGATTTATAGGCCTGAATTCCTGTCTGTGGAGCAGGTCTCAATCCAACCTAAAAGCAGCTGGTTGTCCTCATAACCATTGTGCAGCCACTTGCTCTATGTTTGCTCACACCTTGGTGAGGCCTCCCTGAGCCCCCTCTTTTTTTTTTTTTTCTTTTGATGGTGCTGGGGACAGAACCCAGAGCCTGGTACATTCTAGGTAAACAGTTTACCACTGAGCTACATTCTCAGTCTCCTGATTACCCTCTTGAATCCTGTAACCTCCTCCCTCTGCCACTGTTTTTCTAGACTGCTACATTTCTTTTTATCTTGATTTTATAACCTAAGATGCTCCTTTTGTTGTTACGTTTCCTTGTTATTGTTTGCTTTCTATTGAAATATAAACCTTCTGAGGAGAAGGATGTTTTGTTTGCTGTTGTATCTCAAGCATCTAGAATAGTATCTGCCACTTAATAAGCATCCTGTAAATATTGGTGGAATTCAGTGTAAGATAATGATATGGTTAGTGATTTAGGAATGCTTGTGTTACCTAGGAGATTTCATTTAGCAATAGTTTGTTGTGCCCTGGGTAATGAAGGCCTATTAGGTAGAAAATCATCTGTAGTTAGGAAAATAGCATGATTATGAGAAATTATCTTTTAATTACTATTCAAAATTTTTATTTTCTTTTTTAAAAAATATTTTATTTAGTGTTTCTATTTTGTGTGTGTTAGTGTATTGGCTGCATGTATGTAGATGCACCCATGCTGTACAATGCCCATGGAGGTCAGAAAAGGTATCCCCTGGAACTGGAGTTACGGACAGTTGTTAGCTGCCATGTGGGTGCTGGGATTCGAACCCAGGTCTTCTGCAAGAACAGTCAGTGTTCTTAATCTCTGTGCTATTTCTCCAGCCCCTATTTTTATTTTCATTTTGTGTGTCTAAGTAATTTTTCTGCATGTAGTAAGTGCACCACATGCATGCACTGCCAGTGGAGGCCACAAGAGGGTATGGGATTGCCTGGAACTGGAATTATAGATGGTTGTTAGCCACCATGTAGGTACTGGGAACCAAATCTGGGTCTTCTGCAAGAGCAGTCAGTGCTCTCAACTGCTGAACCACCTCTTCAGCCTTGCTTATTATTACTGTTTTTGTCTCAGTATGTAGACCTTGCTGACCTTGAACTCACTGAAGATCCTCTTGCCTCTGCTTCCTGAGTACTGGGATTAAAGGCATGTGTCACCATGCCTGGTTTAAGCTTAATTTGTTTCTTGTGTTGGGGATTGAATCAAGGGCATCAAGTATTCTAGGCAAGCCTGATCACTACATCCCAAGTTCCAAGAAATTGAGTTTTCATTGCTTTTATTTGTGCGTATTTTACATATTTTTATAGATACTTGTTCTATTTCTAAAGTCTAGTAGAAGCATTGCTTTTTACTTGCTTTGGACTGTGTATAACATGTGTCAATGTGAGAAGATCATTTATTCTTGGTTATTTAGTAGGTAGAAAGAGTAGATAGTCCAGGACATGGGGCTAGAAAGATGGTGACACTGGGTAGTCTTTAGTATATTAAAGAAAGCACCTGAGGGGGCTGGAGAGATGGCTCAGTGGTTAAGTACACTGGCTGTTCTTGCAGAAGACCCGGGTTCGAATCCCAGCACCCACATGGCAGCTAACAACTGTCTGTAACTCCAGGTCCAGGGGATCCGACAGCCTCTTCTGTCCTCTGTGGGCATTGCATGACATGGGTGCATTTACCTACATGCAGGCAATACAC